TGTTGCAAGTGTTTCATCTGGATTTTACAAAAGTAGATCTGGTGTTGCACATGTTGCAATGGGACCCACCTGTTGCATCCGCCTGCTGCAGCTGCTGGGCCACCGTGCATGTGCGTGGGAAGTGGAAAGCTGGCGCGGGAAGTGGAGGGGGTGGCGGGCGGCAGGGGAGCTGGGTGGGAGCTGCGTCCGAACGCCTCCTGGGCTCCGGACGTCCGGACGCTAGCGTCTCCCTTCCTAAAGCTTAAGGTGTTAAAACCCTAATCCCATCCCATCTAAGTCCTCATACTAAAAAAATTAGGATGGACAATCCCTCTAACCAAACATAAATTGGGATGATCTCACCTCAAAATCATAGACATAACCATCTCATCCTATTTCATCCTCAAACTAAACACATGCTAAATCCATGGACACTGCTCTCCTAAAGCGTAGTTAAAACAAAAGGTTAAAAAGTGGCCTTCCACGGACGTCCCACTTGGCTAAATCCATAGCCTGGTTGACGTGCCCGGCCTAGAGAGGAATGGGAGAGTCCACGTGGATGCTATCCAGAGACCGGCGCTGGTGCCTGCCGGGTACCTGCCTGCCCAGCTGGAACACCAGGAGGATCTTCTAGGCAGGTTCCATTCCATCCGGCCGGCCGGTCACGGTCAGCTGTTCCAGCGGCCACCAACACGGAAACACGCGCCGTTCGGCCACGGCGCGGTTCGAATGGACGACCAGATGGCTTGTGGCTTGTGGAGCGCTGCCTGCTGGCCTGCTACGAGCCTGCGACCTGTGGTATTTTTTCGACGGCCACGCGCGTGCGTGCGGTCCCCCGTCTCTGTGGCCAGCCCCGGGCTGAACAGGACTGGGTGCGCCATGTCCTATCCATCGCTGACCAAGTGACCAGTTGCCCTTGCCGTTCGCCTATTCCCAGGCTGCGGGTACATGGCCGATCCCCACTGGCTACGTGGAAGTTTCTACAACATCATTCTGGTCTCTGTCATGGCCCATGGGGGTTCTACTTCTACAGTTCTACTGCTGTCATGGTCATCTGGCTGCCGGTTTCAGTTAAGTCTTTCTGTACAGAGATGTGGAGTATGTTCGATACTCTCAGACGCTGTTTTGGTCATTCTGAGAGGCAGGGGAAGGTTTGAAAGCGTCTGATGATCTGCCGAGGCCCTGGCTGTAAAGGATATATGTGTATTCAGAACCAAGAAATCCTAAAGGACTGTACAAGCATAGTTGAATTCGTAATCGTATATTGATGATGTAGTCAACGAGAGCCACGAACCGTCCATTTGAACAAGTCAGAGGATATATGTGTATATACTTAGTACGAACATGACAACGACAGAAAGATTAAACTTACAGTAATCAAACTGCAGCTGCCCAGGACAAAACTGAAACAGCTGCGTAAGAAGGACAGTAGCCACTAGCCACACCGATACCAACACACAGCACGCAGACGGACCAAAGACGTCGATGAGCATTAGCTGCGACTCGGCTAAGGGATTAGTGAGGCAGCCAGGCGGGACTTCGCAGCAGGTGCTCTGTTGCCGAACTGCTGGTCACGGCCAGCCTCCAGCCAGCTTGTAGCCTCCACGGTCAGCGGCTGTTTGGCTGATGGATTTTGCCGCTGATAAATCGACTGATAATATTTTGATGTGAGAGAAAAATACTATACCATGGCTGATAAGTTCAAGTGAACAGGCTAACGTGAGCATCGTGATCCCTTTCTGATCGGTAAATATATATACCTGATCAGCATAGGCACGAACGACGTGATTCGAAAGACACAATGCCTTTGGTGTCCCTATCCAGTTAAGTCGCTGTTTTCACGCAATCCACTGCAGCAATAGATTTGCCCTAACCAAGCATCGATCACTGCACGCTCTTGTTCGGAACTTGCCCGGAAATAGACAAAGATTCGTCTTCGACATAAGAGTTGCCTTCGCCTATATAAATACGTGACGTGCTCTTGTGACTGTGTTCTAGCGTCGATAACAGCCTTACTATCGTCAAGTAAATGGCATCGCTCTCGCCAAACAAGCACTGATAGCTCTCGTGGGCAGTGGGCAGGCTGTTTAAGTGTAGCCTTCTGCCTACATGTGCCCTGTTCGCTTGGCTGATAAGCCATGACTGAAAATACTGTTAGCTGATTTATTGTGAGAAAAAAATATTGTTTGTTAGCTGAAAAAGTATGACTTATAAGCCAAGCAAACAGGACGCATGGCTCATTGGAGTCATGTGATCTGACTCGGATGTCTGACGGTTTCTAAATTGTTTTCTTCTGAAATAACAAAAGCCGTTGCAGATTAGCTATCCCAATCGATGAGTCAATATCTGTGAGAGTGAGACTACGACGCTCTTTGCTTAGACTATCTCCAACAACATTACCTGAAATGCAATACCCATTTTATGTTTGGGTAGTACTACATATAAAATGTTCCGTTCCTATTTTTGGTCTTCTCCAATAACAGGACTCAAAAGAGAATATTTTATGCAAATGAGTCTATAGGAGAGATGATACTCATATTTAGGTTGTGCCTTTGTTGTAACCCAAAATAGGTCTCATATATAGATACTTTGTTGGAGGCTAATACAGTACCATTCGAGACTCATTTTATGTATGGATGCCCATATGGAGCATCCATTGAAGACAGTCTTAGCTGCCTTTTCCGCCTATCCAATCACGTTTCCTCTAGTTGCTTGTCTCTGGCCCTTTGCAAGTCAGGATTGGTCTCCCCGGCCATCCATCCAAGCACATGCGCATATGAGACGCTCGGGCTCAGCATTACCCACACCAGATGTTTGATGTTAAGTAGGAGGATTAAATATGAGATAATTATAAAACTAATTATACAGATGGAGACTAATTTGCAAGACGAATCTATTAAACCTAATTAATCAATAATTAGCACATGTTTACTGTAACACTATATTATCAAATCATGGACTAATTATGCTTAATAGATTTGTTTCGTAAATTAGTTTTCATCTATGTAATTAATTTTGTAATTAGTCTATATGTGATAAGGATTAAAGATTAGTCCCTCTAACCAAACACTGCATTTGCGCGCTACAGATGGCTTTCATCAACGATGCTTCGTCGACCGAATTGTGGGCTGTGTCGCTCGTGCCTATACTTCAGGGTACATTTTTCGCAGTCATAGGACATAGGGTGTCATGTAGAGTTTACACATGGCGATACAGAGGCGTGCCGGGATGCTAAGCATAATAAAATACGAGGACGACAATACAAGGATGACGAGGAGAATCCGTCAAGGCGAAAATTCAAGTTTCTGAACCTTCTCGCCACCGGCACAGCAGGATCCGGGAAGGTCAAGCCAACAGCCCAACCGCTGATTCTAGAGCCGCTGGTTGGAACAAGGTTAGGAATGCAACTTAGCTTTTGCAAAGTCACTTCGATGCGACATCACGAGTCGGACACTAACTGTTCAGTAACATCTTGTCAAAAAAAAAAAGTTCAGTAACCAGAAGCAGCTATGACACACACAAAGGGCATCAAAAGGTTCATGGCGTTTGGACCTCTCAATCGCCAGCTCTACATATTTGCCGTCCAATTCTGGCCTTACCCACAAGCAATTGCCATTTTGCATATGCAGAGACAGACTGACATTTAGAAACGTGCATGACCATGCAGGGCGAGGAACATCAATAAGCCTATGGCATTGCATTTACACGCCAACAAGTGACAGCTGCACGAATACAGCAATTGAGTCTAGGAGTTTGACCTTTCACAGCCCACATCCTGAATAGTCTACACCTGTGTATTCTTATTGCCCAAACCAAGAAAAAAGGGGCTGGCCACCACATCAGTATACCGTGTACAAAAAAAAACCATGGTCACTAACTATAGTACAATTGGATAGAAAAAAAACAGAGTTGGATGGTTGGAACATTAGTGTACATTGCGAAAAATGAAAAGAATGCCTGCTCAGCATCACTGGAAAAGTATGCCGCAATCAATAAGCAATAAGCAAAATCTGGAAGGGGCAAGGATGATGACTAACTACTAGCATGCACATCCGCTTCTCTGCTCAGTCTCAGGGACAGGATCCGCAACACTCTGGAAGTAACTGAAGAGCAGAAAAAAAGAAGGGTGTAAATAACTAAGCTGGGAAAATCAGCAGTAAGTAGCAGCAGGGAGCTATTTCATCTTTCTGAAATAATGTAATGGAATATAGTGAGAACATGTGTGAAAGCATTTACTAATAGACACAAATCATCACAGATTAAACCAAGTACAAAGCATTAGCCTAGTTCTAGCCTATTACAAAGTTTACCTGTTATAAGCATCTATTGTTTTTCAGATATGTGAAGAGTAATGACATTAATTACTAGCCAAAGTAGTTTTTTATTCCTTCATCAAAAGCAAATAGATATCTAGATAATATTATCATCAGAGAAGAAACCAGTACGGGTCATGGACTAGTAGTTACTCAAAATGGTTACATATTCATAGTGATAGAGGTAGCTGTCTTTTAGCGTACATGTGCATCATTATGACCTTTCCTTTTGAACAGAAGTTTTTCAACATCGATAACATAGCAAGATATTGCTAAGACATTATCAAAGGTTTGCCATGCAAATCAAGAACCTTATTTATTAACAAATAAAAGCCTGTAACAGTTATTAGAAACTGGGAAAAAACATAAAACCACATTAAATAGTACATCCAAATCATGCATATAAAGATTACAGAATATCTAAAAAATAGCTAAAGAAAAGTCATTCTACAAATAATAGGTCAGAGATTAAAGAAAAGTAGCAATCACCATAATGGAGTTAAAAATGCTGCCCAACATACGAACATAGAACATATTCAATCAAGAAAGAACTAACAAGTTCAGTTAAAAAGAATATGGTCAAACAAGTGCAACAAGAGTATGGGCAGGTTAGGTATATTAACAAGGGCTGGTAAGGTTTACCCTAAGCAGTGAATGAGCTTCCTTCCATACAATACGACAAACAGAAGATGATGAATTTTAGTTTACTCACATGTCCTGATCACGTTCATGCTCTAGAGCAAGCTTGGCAACAGTGAGGAAAGCGTTGTCAACATTGTAGTCCTCTTTTGCAGAAGTTTCAAAATAAGGGATATTGCCTTTAGAAGCACACCACTCCATTGCTTTCTTATCAGAAACCTATGCGGAAACATTTAATCAGGTAGGAGCATATTAAGAGACGAGAGTTGCAATCAGCCAATCACCACATTATAACAATACTAACCACTCTGCTTTTTCCACCATCTACATCAATCTTGTTACCGAGTAAGATGAAGGGGAAAGTTTTAGGATCTGATGGACTAGCCTGAAAAGAAATAAGGATGACTATGTCAAGCAATGTTGTCAAGATACTACAAGCCGTTATAAGAGATACAGATGCTATAGTATTAATAGATTAGTATATTACAACAGAATCGATCTCCAGACAAAAATGCTAAAGCATAAAGCTGTTTACCAAATAGTCCATTCAACAAACACGACAAAAATGGATTAAAGGCCATTTGCATTATTTGTGTACACATAACTTTCTGAGAATTTCATGACAGACAACAAAGGTAATAAGTGCAAACAGTAGCTTTGTTATTACAGCATTACATGAATTGCGCGCAAACTATATCGATCTGAATAAGCATGCAGAATGTTATCAGTTGCGAATTTATCTAAGTTTCCTGTACTAATTGAGCAGAATCAGTTTGGATCATGCGTTACAATTCTGGATGGAAAAGATTATATTCTAACTCAGCTGTGTTATTTCATCTTGCATTAATAAATTGCTGACTGGACATACACAACTCTTATAGAAAATAGAACATATCTGTACTAATATGGCATTAGACATTACAATCATTCCACCATAGTAATAATAACAGTTAGAGATCCAGACCTCAATAGTCACTTATCAACACTTCTGTTTTACATCAACACAACCACTCCAGCATTTATGTGTTTGCTAGTTATGAGCTAGAGTGGAAACCACTACCCCTTCCCCCTCCCTCCCTCCCTCCTGACTCAGAACTTAAGAAATTCTAAGAACCATACAATTTGCTTTCCACGACAATTTTATATTGTAAACCGTGTTCATACTTCCAATCAGAACTTCAGAAGTGTTTATTACAAGTCCTAGATCCTAAAATAAACAAAAGCACTATCATAGCAGGGAACCTGTATAATTTTCACATGCCGGTTACAATCTGGGTTACTAGAAAAAGTGAAATCCCTCTCCTCGATAATGGTTTGCTATTAATAGCAGGTTCAAGAAGAAAATAAACTGCCAAAGTAACATTAAGCGAAAATTATGTTTCTGCCTGAAGCCCTGAACACATCCTCGAAATCAAGTAAACAAAAGACATGGACAGGAAGGGGAGGAGCAAAGACTGGTGCTGTCGGGGCTGCAGCATCGGCCTTGCCGGTAGAATCCCTAAGAGAAATATAAGCCTAAAAATCAAAACTCAATCCATTTTTCAATCAATCCAGCACCCCTTTTCTAGTCAAGCAACTCCTGTCCAGCTTGTCTGGCTCCACCACTATGGATAGAGCGTAACTATGTGATCTAGGCAAATCCAATTTTAGCCAAACATATGATTAGCTATTTCCTGTTCACATATACTTATTCAGCACAGACCGATGATAAACCCCTGATGTGGCTTCTTGGCTTCATGTAGATTAAAACATGGTAGATTGAGAACGGGCATATTGACACAGAAAAGATGACAGTATCAAACGATTTGAACATATGCTCCAGATTCTAAGTTCATAAAGCGAACATATTTGGTCACGGAAGCTGGCAAGGCTAAACTCAATATATTTCCATTCCAGATATCAATTAAAAAAATAAGTACAGATATGTGAGCATGCTCAAGCTTTGCGAAATTACTGGCAGCATCACATCAAGCTGTCAGCTAGTAAAATGGTATCAATATGATAAATGATGAAATGCACTACAGTCAATAGCTATCTTTTTTTTCTTTAAAACCAGTACAGTTGATATCTACAATCATGACTAAAATCACGACAGTTTGTAAGATAATCATTCTTACTTGGTTGAGGAACTCATCATGCCATGTGTTGAGTGTATCGAATGACCTGTTAGAGTTGACGTCATAGACGAGCACACAACAATCCGCCCCTCTGTAGAATGCAACCCCAAGACTCTGGAATCTCTCCTGCCCCGCAGTGTCCCAAATCTAGCATCAAAGTAACATGTGATGACAACAACATGAACAACAGCCACTTCCTTCTCTTTGAAAGCTCACCAGATCAAGTGGACTCTCAGTCTCTCACCTGCAACGTGACTAGCCTGTCTTCGATGAGAACCTCCTTTGTGACGAAATCTGCACCAATTGTAGCTTTGTACTGCTGACTGAACTTTTTGTGGACATATCTAGCTGAAAGTCAAGAATATCAAAGCACCCAAAGTACTAAAAGCTGTCCACAGATAGATTATATATGTCAAGATACTTGATTCTTATTGCCTTGCATCATCTTAACTTTAATCCCCATACTGCAATAAGCACGATGTTGAATGTACCAGAGCTTTCAGAACGAGATTCACAAAATCACAGGTCCCGCTCAAGCACAGCACAAGGAATGAGAATGCAGGTAAACAGTTATTGACTGCAACTATGTCAGTGGGAGCTCACAGTAATCCGAAATTCCATACCCCAAAACTAAAGAGATGCGTTCTTACAGCTCAACGGATGAAACTCGCATTATGTCTATAAAATGGCACAAAATTTCGAGACAGGCTGCAAATTTGCCGCCTTCCGAGCACTATGGCGTAAGTTGATCCATGGGGCAAAAAGCAATTCGCACGAAATGCATGGGGGACCGACTGCACGGACATGAAACGGGGCCTAATTACCAAACGCGACACATTGAGGGAATCAAGTCAAGGATACTGGTTCATCAGCGACGTCTTCCCGACCCTGCAGAGATCACACCGGACCAAATCAGACCAACGGGACAGAGTGAAACACAGAGGTCGCAGCAACCACATCCAAATCGAACCGCCAAGCTTTCCTGGAAATCACAACAGCGACCCGGGAAATACACATGCGGGCGGATCCGAGGGAGGGACGGGGAGCCGGGTTGGGGGGAGGGGGGAGGGAGCAATGGGCTGACCCGCTGTCGCCGAGGACGATGACCTTGAGGAGTGTCCGCCTCCGCGACGTCGACATGGCTGCTCGATCGCGATCGGCCCCTCTCGCCGCTTGTCGTCGTCTGGTCGCGACCCCGCGAGGCGCACGAGGAGTCTGGGGGGCAGCGAAAAGAAATCCAGAGTAGAGGAGGACGGAGGTGCTGGATGGATTTCTGATTTTTTATTTTGATTTGATCGATGTGATCCGGTTTTGGCCTTTAAATTTGAAGAAGGCGTGAGTGCGTGACGGTGACGTGAGGCGACGCGAAGTGGCCGTGCAGTTTTGGGGTTGGGGAGAGCGGAGTAGAGGAGGACGGACGTGCCACTGTGACAGGTGGGGTCGCTGTATCCATATGACCAGATGGGCGGTGGTGGCTTTTTTTGGTGATGGTGGGTGGACCGCGTGCCACTGGATGGTGGGGACGTGCTATTGGAATTTTAATCTGGTAAGGACTGGTTTGGTGTTATCGGATTTAACTCAATCCAAATATGCTGGAATTTTACTCTAATCCACCCTAATATAGATAAATTGATGTAAATCCGACTATATCTAAACAAGACCTAAATGATTTAGGGTTTGAACAAAAGAATAAAACATAGAGAAATAGAAAAAACATAAAAAGTAGATAGAGTGATAGTAAAAAAAACTATATAATTTCAAATATAGAAATGAATATTTTGAGTTGTTTGTAATGAGGAAAAAAGTATAGGAACGTGAGCAAACATTTGTAGCAAGAAAGAGAGCAAATATTCTTGCCCTTCAACTGAAGTGGATGTTTTATTTCCTATGTTTTGCACTACTATGTTTCCTTTCTTTTGAAAAGAAACTACACTTTTCTTCATTCCAAACACTATGATGTGATTCCTTTCCTTTGCAGTTTATACTTTCAAAAATTCTCGGAGAATCCTTTATTCCAAAAAGGTTCTAGGGTAGAGCTAAAAATTAATCTAAAATAGTTGAGGTTAGTTAACTAGTTGTAGACTTGGCTAATAAATTAGTTTATCTATTATCTCCATGTTTAGATGTCTCTAAGAGACTTTCTATATCCTTCTTACTATATCCTTCCTAATTGTTAGGAACAGAGATTTTGGTGAAAAAATACGCTCGAGCAGCTCTTTAATTTGTTTTTCAAATATAACCATATTCTATTTCGGATTTCTCACTAGCGAAAGATAAAAAACGAGAATGGCTCCATAGAGCGCAAACAAGATGTAGAAAAATTGGCGGAGAGTGAAAATATACTAAAAACAATTTTTTATGCAAATGACTCTCTAAACGATGATTTAGAGAGTGAGCTTTAGAAAGACTTTTGAAAATGCTTTTAGGGCTAATTTTGATTATTTCTCTAGGTATCTAAATAGGCCCTTAAATCATGTTTAGGGATGCAAGATGGGTTGTCTACGAACTCGTAAATAGATTTAATTTTTGCGGGTTTATAGATAATCCACGAGAAATAACCTATTTAGGGGTTCGCGGATAACCTCGCTTATTATAAAACTTGGTTCCTCGCTAGAGCCATTTGATACAATTGTTTCTATTCATTAGTTATTTTCATTCTCAGCAGGAGCAGGGCGACACTCTGCAAGGACTTGCAACCTGTTTTCAGGGTTATGGAAACGAGATACCCCAAAGCACGACCATTAAGAGTCGCTCAGGATGGCTCAGTTGGCCACGGCCTAGCCGAACACAGCCTGCCACGACCTCTCGCCTCCGAGCCGTACAAGGTTCGCCTCAACCTCTCCCACCTCTCGCACCGCGCGGTGCTACGACCACCTTTTTCCTTAGCCGCTAAGGAAAGGACGAGAGGTGAGTGAGCACATTCAATGCTCCTGCCCAGACGGGACGCGCACGCGCACTCCACCAAGTACAAGAAGGACGACAACCCCTCTGACCGTCCGGCCCTGGGGCAGAGCGTTGCCGTGGTCAGCACCTCGCTGACGGACAAGACCACACCAGGGCACAGCTACGTCACGCCGCGTGGCTCCGCACCGCCCAAATCCCGTCCATCCTGATGGACAGGCGTACGATTGTACCCGCTATGATGTGGGGACCACGATGAGGAGTCAGATCTCCACCCTGACCAGACCATATTCCCCCGATCCGACCCCAGGAGGTCGAGGCAACAGGATCCCGACCCCGGGAGCAAGCAGCCCACGACGGGACAAGTGACAAGTCACTCTTTTCCGTACAGTGACATCATGACTTCTCCCTGAAGAAACGGAGTGCCAGGACGAAGGCCACGACGACAGCAAGCAAGCCATACCGGGCAGGGGAGTTGGTAGGCAGCCACCACTCCCCTTGCACCGCCATGGCCAAAACAATACCTCCTCTGTACGACGCCCCTTGGCGTAAGGAGCAAGCTCACGACGGCCATACCAACAACAAGACTAGATATTCTGCTTAGCAAGGACGCTAGCTTCACCCCTCGGGCTACTGGCCACTCGGGCTAGGAGAACCCTACTCTGCATGTAACCTAGTCCTCGCGACTATATGAGGGGAGCCAGGACTTCCTCCATAGGGACATCGAGAACATCTTCCAACAGAATAGAGAACTTCTCTCGATCAATCTCCTACTAACATTTCCCCTTCCTCGAACTCTTACTTCTTGTAGGACTGTAGCTTGCATACCCCTTGTTGTAGAGCACTTTGGCATTGAGCAACACGTACTCACAGGTCTCCGGCAACTGGACGTAGGGCTCAGTCCCAAACCAGTATAAATCATCTGTGCTCTGAGTGCTAGCCATCGAATCCCTTGAGCAGCGCGGTGATAAATTTACTAGTTGGTTCTTAAAACATCGACAACCTGCAACCTAATGGAGGATTAGGGTTGGGGACAAGTCAATTGGAACAGGGGCAAAATGGTCATACCATGCCAATATTTGCCAAAATTGATTAATAAAAATTGTCAAAGTCTTCAAATAAGTATTCCATTGGGTGAACTAAGTTAGATAACGATAATATGACAAAACTTATTTGTATAATAGTATTCTAACTTAGTTTTCAGATTTAATAACAAATTTCTAAACTCTTCCTCGGCTGGCACGGAGAACCGTGCTAGGCTCGGTGGCTAGCCTAGCCAGGTGAGCTCGCTGCTGGCGCGAGTTCAATTGCTAGAATCAAACTCGCGTTCTCACTAGGATTTATTCCCAATAACAATCTGCAACCTCTTTTGTGTGGAGCCACAGAGAAATTGCAACACACCCATCACCTACGGAGACATGGATGGTCCTGGTGATCTCTAGAAGGACGCAGTCTTCTAATTTGCGAATAGTTGTAGGTCTTGTTGTGCATGCATGCTGTGTGTGTAGTGTGGACATGTGTTCCTACATGAACATATACTACAAATTTACCTAGATGAGGGGCTCATAAAAAATACTCGTGGCTCGTGGCCGTTCGGATCACCAGGTGTTAGGATGATTATAGTCAACTGAACATGTGGGATTTAGTGAATTCACATTTGGCTCGTGTATATCGGAACAATCTGCTGGACACGCGTGCATTGCGTTTGCAGCACGCTCCTTGGAGCTGAGATCGCATAAAAAAATTGCACAATGCTTCACTGATAACACGTTGTGACTTGTGAGCCTCTTGTGAAGCTCATGCAGGTCGCTTGATAACACGTTGGAATCGTCGTCGGTTGGGTAGCCTCTCCAGATATGACGAGCATCGTCGTTTACCACAGAATCCCGGTTCCGAGCCTCACAATCGCAGTGCTGCATTAGGCTGCATCAAATTCACAGGTTATCCTCCTGTTCTCTCCCTCTTTGTTTCCCTCTATTTGTACTGAACCCTTTGTTTGCTTCCGCTTTTTATTAATAAATTCCTGTAGGGGCCTTGGCCCCTCCAGTTTTGTCAACCAAAAAAAAAATCACAGGTTCTAATTCCAAATGTAAAGTATGCAACACCAAGCCGGATTGCTATCCTCTGCTTGCTTCCTTCGTCCTGGATTCCTCTGCTTCCCACCTCCACTACACCCGTCTCCAGCGATCCTTAGGAGCCATGGATCCCCACCTCAAGCTTATCCTGGACGAGCTCCAGCAATCGAAGTTGGAGTTCGCCCGTCGCTTCGATTCCCATGAGGAGCGCTGGGAGCGGCGCTTCGCCGACCTTGAGCGTGATCGCACCACTCGCGCTGCCGCCGTGGACGCCCGCTTCGACAAGCTGGAGTCCGCCTACACCGCCCCGCCGTCCGAGGATGTCGTCCGCCGTCTCGACGCCCTGGAGTCCGACGTCGCAGCGCGCCTCACCAACCTCGAGCTCGTCCGCGCCTCCGACCCGGTCAACGACGAGCGCGAGGCCCGTGTCGCCGCTCTGGAGGCCGCGACCAATGACATCAGTTCCTGGCGTCCCGAGGTCGAGGGCGTCGTCGACGATCTTCGGCTAAAGGTTCAGAAGGTGTCGATGCACTACGACCGCGCGGAATTCGACTCTTCGTCCCACAGCCCGGGTCTCCTCATCGGCCCGACGTCGACAGTTGCGCGCTTACCGCCCGTTGTTGGGCATGGCTCTGCACCTCTTCCACGGGATATTGGGTCTGGATCCTTCGCGGTTCCCATCCAATTCCCGGCCAATGGTACGCTCAGTTCACCCTCATCTAGTCCGGTTTTCACCATGCCCAATCCTCGACCGCCACCTCCTCCTCCTCCGCTAGCCATACCAAATCCTCGGCCGCCTCCACCCCCTCCGTTTGCCTTACCCGATCCTCGGCATCCTCCACCTGCCCCAAATCCAAACGCCTTGGGTCGTCTGCCTAAGTTGCCGTTCCCAACCTTCGATGTCGATGGCCCTCATTTGTGGCGTACGCTGTGTGAGAAACATTTCGCTATGTATGCTGTTGAGGAGTCCATGTGGGTTCGGATAGCTGAGATGCATCTCCAGGGTGCCGCGAAATTGTGGTATCAGTCTGTCGAGCCCCAGCTTGCTAACGCTACCTAGGCGCAGTTCTGTCAGTTGGTTCGTGATCGTTTCGATCGCGATCAACATGAGTCGCTGATGCGCCAAATCTTCCATGCCAAACAAACTTCATCTGTGTCTGATTACATCACCTCTTTCACTACCTTGGTTGATCAGCTTTCAGCCTATAACAAGGCGGTCGATCCTGTGTTTTACGTCACCCGTTTCGTAGATGGCTTACGCCCTGAAATTCGCTCTGTTATTATTGTTCAACGCCCCCAGAGTTTGGATGCTGCTTGTACCTTGGCGTTATTGCAGGAGGAAGCCGGTGTTGGTGGTACCAAGGATTCTTCACGATCCTCCTCTGTTCCGGCTTACAAGCCGAATCTCAAGAATGCAATGCCTCTGCCTCTTCTACCAGCGGCAACCAAGACGCAGGCTGTGGTTGCTGCCCCTGCCCAGTCTGATGCAGAGTCCAAGCTCTCGGCTCTGAAAGCTTATCGCCGTGCTATGGGCCTCTGTTTCAAGTGCGGCCTCAAGTGGTCCAAGGATCACAAGTGCTCCCAAGAAGTGTTGCATGCTGTTCAAGATATTTGGGAATCTCTCTCTGCAATTGGCGCTCCCTTGCCTGGTGAGGACGTTTCTACTGCTCCTGAACAATTGTTTCTGGCAATTTCTTCAGCTGTTACCTCTGGTGCTCCTGCTTATAGTACTATTCAGTTTGTTGATACTCTTGGGGGTATTCCAGTTACCATACTGTTGGACTCTGGCAGTACATCATCTTTTGTCAGCGAGTCCTTAGTTATGCAGTTGAGCTCTCAGGTAGTTTTGCCTCACCAGATATCTGTCAGTGTTGCTGGGGGAGGGGTGCTTACCACCAAAGGAATCTTACACAATGTGAACTGGAGTATTGATCATGTTTCATTTGTGTATGATTTCAAGATTTTGCCCCTAACCCATTATGACATTATTTTGGGTATGGATTGGTTGGAACAATTCAGCCCAATGCAAATTCATTGGAAGCATAAATGGATTCAAATTCATTATAAGGAGTCAACCATCACTATTCAGGGCATTCAGTCCATGCTTCCTGAGAAATTGCTGTTGCAAGTTTGCTGTGCTACTGTGGAGGTTTCTGTACCAGATTTTTCAGGACTTCCTTCTGAGTTACAGAATCTGCTGCAACATTATGCTCATTTGTTTGCACCTCCAGTGGGTCTCCCTCCTCAACGAGCTTGCAATCATGTTATTCCACTGTTGCCTGATTCTAAACATGTGGCAGTCAAACCCTACAGGTACCCACCAAAGATGAAGGATGAGTTGGAAAGATAGGTATCTGAAATGCTTGATCAGGGTATTATTCAGCCTAGTTCAAGCCTATTTTCTTCTCCTGTGCTATTGGTTCCAAAGAAGGATGGGACATATAGGTTCTGTGTTGATTTTAGACAGCTTAATTCTATCACTGTCAAGTCCAAGTTTCCAGTGCCCATTTTTTATCAGCTAATGGATGAGTTGGCTAATGCACAATGGTTTTCTACATTAGACCTCAGAGCTGGTTTTCACCAGATCTTGCTTCAGGAAGGGGAAGAGCCAAAGACTGCATTTCAGACTCATTTGGGCCATTATGAGTTTAGGGTTATGGCCTTTGGCTTAACTGGAGCCCCAGGAACTTTTCAAGGAGCCATGAACTTAACTCTAGCTCCTGGGCTGAGGAAGTTTGTCTTAGTCTTCTTTGATGATATTCTGGTGTACAGCAGAACCTATGAAGAACATTTGTTTCACTGTTTCACTTGGCTCAAGTGTTTCAGTGGCTTACAAGGGATCAGTGGACGCTTAAGTTTACTAAGTGCAAGTTTCCTCAGCAGTCAATTGCATATTTGGGCCACATTATCAGTGCATCTGGTGTGTCTACAGATCCTGCAAAGATCAAAGCTATTCAGGATTGGCCAGTTCCTAAGATTGTAAAGGAACTCAGAGGCTTCCTAGGGCTAGCAGGTTACTATAGGAAGTCTGTGAAGCATTTTGGAATCATTGCTAAGCCCTTAACTGATCTGCTATGTAAGGATGTACAGTTTTCTTGGGAGTCTATTCATTCTGATGCTTTCCAATTGTTGAAAGATGCCTTGACATCAGCACCATGTTTAGCCTTGCCTGATTTTGACAAGCCATTTCACATTGAAACTGATGCTTGTGCAGTTGGGGTAGGGGCTGTGTTGCTACAGGAAGGGCACCCTTTGGCCTATATTAGCAAGGCTCTAGGCCCAAAGAACCAAGGATTGTCAACTTATGAAAAGGAATACCTTGCAACTGTGGTAGCTGTTGATCAGTGGCGCCCTTATTTGATGCAGAATGAATTTTATATTGACACTGACCAGAAAAGCCTTATTCATCTTAATGATCAGAGGCTCCATACCTCTTGGCAGCAGAACTGTTTACTAAGTTGCTGGGATTGCATTATAAGTTGATTTACAAGAAAGGAGTTGAAAACAGTGTGGCAGATGCATTATCTCGGTGCCCAACTACTGATCAACTTCTTGCAGTCACTGAAGTAGTTCCCAATTGGCTACATGATATTTGTGCTGCTTATGATCAGGACCCATCTGCTATGTCCTTATTGGCTCAGCTAGCTGTGGCTGATAATTTAGTCCCTCATTTTTCTCTACATAATGGAGTTATCAAGTATGATGGCAAGATTTGGCTTAGTCATAATGTTCCAATGCAAAAGAAGGTAATCCTGGCATTACATGCTAGTTCCCTGGAGGGTCATTCTGGAGCACCTGCTACATTTTATAGGATTCGGCAGTTGTTCTATTGGCAGACTATGAAAAAGGATGTATATACTTGGGTCAGAGAGTGCATCACTTACCAACAGGCCAAGCCTGACACGAGCAAAAGTCCTGGGCTTCTCCAGCCTCTGCCAGTGCCGACTGCTGCTTGGGATGTCATTTCAATGGATTTTGTGGAAGGGCTGCCACAGTCTAGTTCAGCAAATGTTGTCTTGGTGATCATTGACAAGTTTACCAAGTTTGGACACTTTATTGCCTTGAAGCATCCCTTCTCTGCTCAGACAGTGGCTAAACTGTTTCTGGATCAGGTCTATCGCCTTCATGGTATGCCTACCGCTATAGTCTCTGATCGAGACAAGATTTTCACAAGTACCTTCTGGCAATCCTTGTTCAAGATGGCTGGGACTGAATTGCGCTTGAGTACTGTGTATCATCCGTAGACGGATGGACAAACCGAGCGCCTGAATCAATGTATGGAGACTTACCTTCGGTGTTTCGTGCATGCTTGCCCTTCCAAATGGGTCAATTGGTTGCCTCTCGCCGAATTTTGGTACAACTCAACTTTTCATTCAGCTCTGGGCCGAACTCCATTTGAAGTATTATATGGATACACTCCTCGTCAGTTGGGTCTGTCTGCTGAAGCAGTGGGTGCCTCTGTACCACAGCTTGATGATTGGCTTTCAGAGAGAGCATTGATGCAAGACTTGGTTCGTCAACATTTGAATCGTGCCCAACAGCGTATGAAGCGTCAGGCTGATAAGCATCGGTCTGAGCGGCAGTTTGAAGTGGGTGATTGGGTATTCCTTAAGCTACAACCCTATGTGCAGTCCTCTTTGGCTCGCCGAGCGCACCAAAAGCTGGCTTTCAAGTTCTTTGGCCCTTACCAGATCGAAGCCAAGATTGGTGCTGTCGCTTACAGACTCAAGTTACCAGCTTCCTCGGCTATCCATCTGGTGTTTCATGTGTCGCAGCTCAAAGCTTCACATGGCGTTGCTCCGGTATCTCCAGCCTTACCCTCTGATGCTGTTGAGTTTCAGATTCCTGAACAGGTGTTGCAGCGCCGCTGGACCCGGGAGATCATGCTGTTGAGCAAGTGCTGATTAAGTGGTCTCAGATGCCTGCGGCTCTAGCCACTTGGGAGAACTACGAGTTCCTGTGCCATCGCTTTCCAAGAGCGCCGGCATGGGGGCATGCCGGCTCTGAAGAACAGGGGAATGTTACTGCTCCTGGTCCGACAACATCCAGTGACAACTCATCAGCTCAAGAAGGCCGGCCCATCAGGAAGCGGAAGCCCAACACCCTGGTGAACGGTCCAATGTGGCAAGGCTAGTCGTAGTACTTAAGCAGAGGGGGCTGTGAGCGGTTGATTCATGAACATTGTAACCGAACTCATTCTGAAATCCAAACTCGTCCTCGTCGCTATTCCCTGTTCCTCTTCTTCTTTCCCCAGCCATTCCTGTGCTAACAGCTACGTTCGGTTACCTTGGTTTTGGCCCAGGAACAATTCCAGCTTATAAAAACTACACAGATTAGTGAAGCAATTCCAGCTGGAATAATTCCAGGCACTCAATCCACGGCAAACGAACGAGCCCTTAAGCAGATGTGTCCAATAGTACGGCCCCGTGCAAGCAAGGGTTTAGTTGCCGAGGCAAATGGTGGGCTGAAACTCGGGACAACAGAAAGGCAAGCAAACTGGAGGTGGCGAGCAGCGCAAGAAAGCCTCGATCAGTCGATCCCCCGATTTTTCTGATCTTCATCCACAGCGCAGATAATCACAACGACATCTAAACTTACATGGTAGCACAGTTTTTTCACCTCCAAACTTGCCTCTCGCCAAGCCATGGCTCTGTCAGCACAGGTTATTCACCGCCAAACTTGCCTCTCGCCGAGTCATGGCTCTGTCAGCACAGGTTATCACCTCCAAACTTGCCTCTCGCCAAGTCATGGCTCTTTCCTGTAATAAAGTACTATACAGCATTCATTTCTCGTCCAACCCCAAACAAAAAAAGGCAACGAACGAGGCGTTTTTTTCATTAAGAAAAGAATTGGCATCCAAATTTGAGTCAAGGAGGACTTGAACTTAAGGCCCTGTTTGGCAGAATGGTATTTTTATTGACATGTAATTGGTTTACAGGCGTAATTTCTAGTGCACAAGGATACAATTGTATATCTTTTCCCTTGGAATAAGCTGTTTGGATTGAAGGTAAAAAAATTGTCTTCGTTGCCAGAATAGCCACTACTGCATGCATTCGCTGAATTCACACACTGACGTTGGATTCACACACACACACACACGCACACTCACTGACGCTGGATTCACGCACACACGCACACACTCACTGACGCTGGTCCCAAATGGCTGAAGGCTGTGACTTGACTTCTGACATCTCAAATGACCAAAGTCTGCAGCAGTGACTACGGGACATCTCAGTGAGCCAAGTAAGCACAATCATGACATGGAGCATATAGAAAATTCGAAAACAAGACATGTTCAAGCTGTAAGCTATACAAAATTCATATCCAAAACTGTTGGCCAAGCGAGGAAGGGGTGATGGAGCCGTTGGAGCCCCACCCGCTCCCCTCGGGTGCTCGCCCGCCCCCTCCACAAAATTCCCTAAATCCACCACAATCTTCCCTCAATCCTGCTCAAATCCTTCCTTCAGCTTCGGATCCATTCCCTCCTCGTGTTGATCTATCGACTGGTGGGTCTCCTGCCTCCTGTCTTGGCTGCTGTTGTGGTGGCGCCTCCCCTCTGGTGGGCAGCCGGCGGCTTCTGCCGGCCGAGCGGTCTTCGCCTAGAGCGGGTGGACCTGCAACTGCCGCAGTTGCCGATGTGGGTTTCGTGGCTGCCGGCGTGCCCGCCGCCGCGCATCCTTTGCTGTCGTCGCCGCCGTCCCGGAAGGGTGGGGCCGGGCTGGGCGCATCCACGGCCACCAGCTTCGGGTTGTTGGCATCACCTGGTCGCCCCACTCTCTCCCCTGACGCCGCCTCGTTCTTCCCCAGCCACCTCTCCGCCGGCAGGTCCAAGCGCTTGCGTTGGGAGGATGGCTCTCTCTCCGGCGACTCCGACCTTGAGCGCTCTCCTTCCCTGTCGTGGCAGGCCGCGCGTTTGACTCGCTCGGGCGCTGCTCCCTCCTCGACGAGCGCCGGCTGCCATCCTGGTGCCGCGGCGCCGCTGGCGGAGGGCTGCCGCAGCCGCAACGGGTGACTGCGACGCGCCACGCAGGGGCGGTGCAGACCCG